ACTTTTCGTAGGCCTATAATATTTTATGGCGTTTGGGGTTTGACTATCAAATCTATCACCAAGCAAAGTTAAATAAAAAATTCAGAAGATAAAATCTTATGGTTTCCTTGTAAGCATATTAATTTTGTATTTTGTATTATAAATTTGTAAAATGATGCATTTTATTTATTCAACATCTATTACAAATTACCGACTGCAACAGTTTATTCCAGCAAGTAGAGGATAAAATTTAGGCTTGCAGAGAGTGGAATAAAAATATCAAAATGTATTATGTATTTCTAACCGCAATCAGAACAGAACGTTGTACTGACTTGAACAACATGGCCTGGCAATCCAAAAGGTTATCCTATCTCTAGAAAAAAAATATTGATACCTATATCGTTTAGTAAGAACTGTTGCCACTACTGCTTGACACCAGCCTGTCCGGGTATCGAATTTGGAAATCAACAACCACCAGGCCATAAGCAACCCTCCGTATAATTACTATTTATTACCAAGGTTGTCTCTACAGGAAGAAATCATCGAAATCCATACAATCAGCAATCATGTTCGGTTCAAAACAAAATTACACCATCCGAATCACAAAGTAAATTCCACTCGACCATAATAACATAACAATTACGTGTTGAAGATGTTTTATAACATTGTAGTCGTCGTATTCCGCCGACCAAACTATCATTTGCTCAAGACATATAAAATAATTACTGAAGATTTATTACTTGAAATTCTGAAAACAATATTGTGGTTTTCGTATCTGTATATTATATGCAAACTCGTTATGGGATTGTATAAAAAGTAATAAAATTAACTGTGTGCGGGCTTTTGAATCGTTCCAATTGTTATATTAATTAGATCGTTATATAAATACAATGCTGTAACGGATTCACATAATCTAGAATAAAGTATAATATAACTTTATAATTTGCAGTAAGTTGCTGTTACGCTTTTTTCTTATATAGCAACAACCGAGGTAACGGTCAAAGAAAGAAGAAAATCCCTATAAAAAATATTTTTGAAAAAGGCTAATACAATAAAAACTAGACCAAAAACACGTCTTATGCGGGAAGTCTTATAAAGCTTTATCGTCCTCCACTGTGTTTGGCAACACTTGGCGCTGTTGTCGCATATACCAAAATATTGCTCCTAAGGAGAACCTCAGGTTTACACTTCTGGGATTTTGATGAAACTTTGCATAGAGTTGACAGTCAAACCGAACTGTTTAAAATATTATAGGCCTACGAGAAGTGATTTAATTATAAAAATTAATTAAAGTCTACGGTGTTCCAGAAGCTTGCTCATGCTTTTGCCAGAACTGCTCGAGGCAAAATAATTGGCTTTACAGTTATTAATATCATAATTTTGGACTACTGATACTTTATTTCATGCGTTATAAAATAAAATCTATTACCATTTATTCTACAAGGGGAACGCAGACCCCTTTTACATGAAATCATCGAACCAGAAAGTCCTCATGCAGACAGAATATTTATTAATGTAGGTGTAGGTACTTTGAAAAGAGCCACAAGGTGTAAATCGTAAAACTTGCTATAACATTGTTAGATGGATATTATTCATGTGTTTTATTACTTAGGTCAAGCTATAATATGGAGAAAGAAAATTTCTGAGGTTTGTGGAAACCGAGATCTACACCTTGGTAAAAGTGTAGAATTCTAAAATAATTACTCTATAAGGAAATAGAGATAGTTATTACCAAGAGATAGAAAACAAAGAAATTTAGTCATAAAGCATTTTTTTAAAACTACTGTTTAAAAAATAATAATGTGAATAGTAATGTGAACAATATAGTTAATAGGTACTTTGTGCATGTTAACAGTTTTTTTTTTTATACCAATTGTGTACACAACATTCAACAAATATAAAATATATTCCGCTTATAAAACACTAATAGAACTATGTTATTAAACTGATTGACAACACAAGCGACCATTTAACAAACAATCCTTCGGTCGGTGAATGTAAAGTAACACAAACCACACTTATCACAATTACAAATGTCTTTACCAACTATTTCAATTACAAAATAACAATCAAATATCGACATTCGATTTAATAGAACCACGTATGTGTTTCATGTGTGCTTTCAAGCGCCACAGAGAGACGACTGCTAAAGACATCGTTCAACTTTTTAACTTCTTTATGTGCAGCATATATAATGTATGTATACTGGTACGTGCATTCGTTATACAGGTTGTATGTGCACCGGTGAGTAAAATATATATATATATATATATATATATATATATATTGTGTGGCTGAAGAACGGTCAGTGTTCGAAATGGACTATGGTGAGTTCGAAGAGCCCATGGGCAATTCATCTATAGAAACGACTTTGTAAAGGATATGGATTCTTGGACTACAAGCAATATTGAATTATCCATAGAACAATCTTGTTATCAATTTCCTTCGGAATAAATTATTGATAAAATACTATATAAATAAATAATTTTATAAAAATAGTATATCAATTAATTAATGATTTTAGATATCATTACGTTCTAAGTTTTTTGATAGCCTCATATTATGTATGTACACATTTTAGCTGGTTTATAAATTTTTACTTTAATTTTTTCTTGATAAATTTCGTGATATATCAAGTAATTAATTAGAAAATTTTGCGAAACAATGTTTGACCAAAAATGAAAAACACAAAGCCTTTTGTATTAAAATGAGAGTTGAATCAAAGATTTTTAAATAACGTAATAAGTTGGAAAACTTCAACGAACTAAATACATCTGAACAATATATAAAAAGAAAAGTCTTATGTTATCCTAAAAAATATGAATATTTCATTTTACTACAGTCGTTTTGTATAATTTAAAAAAAATCATTAATTTGTTAATCAAACGTTGATACTAATTTTTTTATGAGACAATCACAGAGTCTACGTCCTCAAGACAATAAATCTTCTTTAAAAAAATCATATATAATATTCAACTATTATTTAAAATGTGACTCATTTAAATTTTGTAAAGGCAAGATCATCCGTTTTGGAGTTATAAAAAAAAACTAAAATTCAGAAGCAAGACTTTTGAGAATATATAATTTTCTGAAAATTTGGAATTTTCTAGAAATGTATTAGTTATTTCGCTATTATATTTGCATCACAGTGTTGGGTTTTGCAAAACAATTTCATCTGACAAATTGCAACAGATTATAAATTAACATTTTAATTACTAAACAGTCTCTCAACTATTATTTATTAACGTTAGTTCAGAAGTGAGATTCAAGTACAAGTCAATCAAATTTTACGTCAGCTTTCAAATTATATATTACAATAATTTATTACATGTGTAATAAATACGATAAATACTTTAAAGTCTTACACGCTTAATGAAAATTATTGAAAAAAAAAAGACAAAAATTTGAAAAAAAAATGACGAAGTTATTACAACAATACGATACTTTTTGTTAAAGTTCATTGATAAATTAATGACTCTTACAAAAATCTTTACAAAATCAAAATCAGAACAAAATAAATCCTAATGTAGAGAAAGTATCAGTTTAGTGATCATTTCATTCTCCCCCTAAAACTAAGCCTAAGGCCATTTTACAACAAGAAAATTAATTATTGTTCACGATTTAGCAATGCCAACGAAATAATATAAATAGGTAGAATGTTATTTTACACCTGAGAAATCCATCAAAAACTTTCAATTAACCAAAACCCTGCGGTTAAAACCATTTGTTTTAATGGGTTTAACAAATCATTTGAAACTACTGAGCATTTACGCAATGATTTACGATTTACGGTACAATTGAATAAATCTTGTTTGATTTTACTAATAATTTATTTTGGTGCCAATACTTTCTACAATAAAAAATTATGTGTACTTTAGAAATTGTTTAGTGTCATTACTTTTAATTAAAGTGACCACAAACCGCAAATCATTTATACCCAAATCAATAAATAAATGTGTAAATGGATGTAGTTTTTGCCATATTATTAATTTCAATTTAGATAGTATTTAATTTTAGAGCCTATAATTTTATTCCTTTCAAGCACTTTATATATTTCTCTATGCGTTCCTAAACGTACCAATATTAGTAGTTGTTGTTAGTACACATGTGTTAATCGATGTGATATGTGTACACACATTTAAGACATAATATTTCCTATTTCTCATTTCTTATTCTATATATGGCCAAGTCGACATAAAGTAGGCTTTTGATTATAGTCTCCAAGGTGTTAATCTTCTATATAGTTTCATACAAAGTTACTTGGCTCACATTTGACTTTAATATCAAACTACTATATGAATAATTAGTAAATAACCAGTAAAAAAGGTCAATATTAAGTGAAGATAGTTTCAAGAAATATATTGGAATAAAATTCCAATTGTACTATGCACCCAGTTTTGTGCGGTCAAAATCGAGGTGAAGTGCCACTTACAACTATTTATTTAATACCAGCATGGTTTCAGAATATGACAAATATATTGAATGTTCTATTTAATTCTTTTGAAAAATTGCAATCTAAGTAATTAAAAATTTACACGCAGAACAAGTACACTCGTCCATTAATTGGTTCAAAATTGGTGGCACCACAGTATTTTTAGATATGCCATTAAATTGTTACTTTTTCCTAATTTTTTTTTTGATTTATTATTCATAGCAAGTTATACAAAGTACATTCAGCTATAACTGTAACAAATGTAGCTTTGTAAATGGAGAAGATAAAGTAGGCAGACAAGATAACCAATGAAAAAGTAATGAGATGAGTGGACGAAAAGAGAACTCTTCTGAGTACAATTTTGAAAAAAAAAGTAAACTGGATTGGACCCATTATGCAACTCCTACCTGACGCCATAGAAGGTAAAATAAGAGATCTAAAAGGGCTGGTATTAAATTTTTAATGGGTATGATAAACAAGGGAGGGTAACAGAATCTTTGAATTGTGGTGCTCTCACACCATGGACCTGCCTTCAGTTTCACTACTATTTATAATTATTATTACTAAAAAAAACTATCTATCCACTTACGATTATTAGCCTGCACCGCAGCCGCCGGAGGTTTCCTCGGACTGGACGTATTTTGCCGCTGGTGCAGAGAATGCGTCACCCCGGAGGTCGGCGTCGACCTCGCCGGGGTCGCCGATAGCGGCGATGAATTCACGGTGTTACCTGCTGCGTTGCTGCTCACATCGCTCTGACTATCGTCCTGCAAAAGATTCGACTCCGATGCTCGCACACGTGTTCTCCTGCTGGGAAGAAATTAATTATTGTAGAAATATAGAGAGGTCGGGATGTAATAAAATACGCCGAGGATGGTAGAGATAATTCATTGTTTGAAAGGATTGCATTGTTGCGGAGATGTGGAATCTTTTCCGTGGTCATGAAATGTGGGATATGCGATGATATTGGCTAGATAAATCTTTCGCGGATGAACACAAGATCTTCTGATAAAATACTTCGATGGTTATAATACTATAGAAAAATTGAGTAAACGTTTATGATTTCGGGAGCACGAATCAACCGATTAGAATGACTCAAAAAAGTCGATGATTGGGAGACGCCCTGAAAAGCAGGCTCTCCTGTTTCCAAGATATGGAGCAAAAAGTGCAAAAATAGAAGTGTTTGAGAGAACGGAGCGTCCGATTTGAATGGTTCAAAAAATATTTCACTTGTATTAATGGAATAAAAAATTGATTAAACTTTTGGGATGGCAGGCCCAGCGGTTTCGGAGACAAAAGTATGAAAACTGCCAAATGGCTTAGACATATAAACATCAAATTTTCAGATATTTTATAGAGATTTCGATATCAAAAACAAACCTAAGTTATGGTTTCACTACTTTGGGATCCGTGCAGAATTTTTTTCAAAATTTAGAAAATTTCCCAGCAAAGAAAAAAAAACTGAACGTGAGTAGTGTAACACCAATAAACTGTAAGAGATGTATACGTAACGTATACATAAAAATTAATATAGTCATTACTATTCAAAGAAAATATTTACGCCTGGCCGAACGCTTTCTTGAATCTTTTAAACAGCTTTATTGAGCAAGACAGTTATTTTAAAGTGTCTGTGAAAATTAGCTTGCTGTATATATCTGATTTATGATTATATTTAAAAATATACACACATTAGAATATAAATAAATATATGTAAAATCTATTTCTACTTAGATGTTAATTAAACTAATGAATTGCTTCGTAGTCAAACGTCTTTCTTACCCATGTGTGGTCATTTTAACTTTACTCTTATCACAATTTTCTTTATTTTTCACAACAACACCTATATCTTTATTACGCATTATTACTCAAAAATATTATACAATATTAGATTTATAAGATTTACGGATGCCACTAACTCTCACTGAATTATAGATCAAACTGCAAACTAACCGGCGAGTTTAAATTATCATGAACAAATATTTGCTCAATAGATAAACGCTTTAAGTAAATAAACACAGAAAAATACCAAATCTCGATAAATAGAAAGCTCACTTAAGAAATATTTCAATAATACGTATTTTGGATAATACATTATATTTTGTATTATTTTTGTGATAAATATGCTGCGGTTTAGATTGGTTGTCGATACTTGTATGATGATCGATTGAAATTGGGATTGCGTTTTATTTAAATGACACAGTGGCGTGCTGATTCAAAAATATTTTTTTGTAAATATTACTATTAGAATATATGAATGGTAACTACACTGAGAAATAAAGTAACTACACTGTTTCAGCACAGGCAAATAAAAATATCAATCCACCACGCATACGTAACTATAGTTTGCACATATCATTTTCGCACCAGATCTTTATATTTAAATTGGAAGTACCACGACTATTTTTTTTTAAATTAAATTCTGAGGTATGATATATGATGTTACGATGCATTACCTACTAAATTTTGTATCTAAAAAAACAATTTCGGTGCACTGGTAAGGCCTTGTTCAATAACCGTGACTCTAAATTGGGAGTGTCATCCGTGCCAAAACAATCAAAGTGCATACGCGAGAACAGATCATTGTGTTCATAGATCGACGGATCCCTATGCAAAATTAAAATGCGTTATTGAAAAAAAAAACTATTGAATTATTTCGATATACCAATAGTCAATTTTGAACAAGAGCATACAAAACACGCCTGAGTTGTAGCATCAAGACCGACACGTATGATCTGAGCTATATTGTCGGATTTAAAAAATATTTTTATTATTCTTACCTTTTAGCTTTAAGTTGTTGCGAATTCAAACTTCTCTCATTCAACGATTGCACACTGCTACAAGCAACTTTATTCAAAGCTCTCACTCTTGAGGTTGGACTAGAACCATTATTGTTATTGGTGAGACCAGTAGAAATCTTTGATTTGACTTCCCGCAAATGAATAGTAGGCCTTGCATTTTTATTTTCAGCAATTTTATTCATCACAGAATCCCATTTGTTACAACGTTTGATCTGAGGGCGCTTATTCTCTTTACCAGAAGCACCGCCAGACGGTGTATTCGTTTTTGACGATGGCTTTGATTTCTTTGTGGATGAACTTGGTGCTATAAAATAAAAAAAAAACGTCAAAATAAATCATAATTTATCTAGTAAATTTGATTTAATAAAATCAATATGTTTTATCCTTACATTTAACCGCAATTGGTTCGCTAGATTCATCAACCGACATAGCCATTGTTTCATCCAAAGGTACTTTATAGGCGCTCGCATTTGGACTTATAGCTGACGAATCGCTAGAAGAAGCACTTTTAACCATTATACCCTGAGGTGGTGTCACTGTGCGACTATTATTCTCGAGATCTGTGTATACACCACTGGATTCCATGCAGGAGGAAGAAGAATCTTCCACCAGACATAATGGCCCAGCAGTAGGAATACCTAGAGACAAAAATAATTTTGCAATAATTGGCCATCCAAATCAATATCAATTTTCTATTTTATTAACAACTCATATGATATTAGGAATTATAAATTATTTTACACTTAATAAACTCACCTGCATTATTATTGGCAGCAGTATGCCCATATACCAGTCTTCCATCTATGACTCTAGCAAGTCTGTGTGCAGTATCCTCGGATGAAGCGAGATCAGCATCACTTTCAGTGAAAAAATCAGAATCGGTCATTGGGTCTGGACGTGCATGATGCCTGCCGACAACAACAACGGTTGAATCACCGGTTTGAACATTATTTTTGCCACTAACGTTGTTGTTGACGTTATGTCCGTTGCTGTGTAAATGATGACTTTCTGCACCACGGCTGACTGGTCTAGACATTTCTCCATCGCCCTTTGAGTGAAATTATTAAAATATCTCATAGAATTGAAATCTTACACAATAAACAAAAAATAATATAGAATAACAAAAAATGGAATGTACCTGGTATCCATTATCCAAACTGGTAATACTTGTGACACTTGCAACAAAACTATTCGAAGTCTTAGATACACCAGAAGTCGATTGCGATTTACTCTCCGAGTCAGCAAGTGACATTTGTTCTTGAGAATTTTCTTGCGTCCCTATATGTCTTTCTGGTTCCTCAGACTCCACTTCTAATTTTATATCTACTGGGTCCAATGGCAATTCTTCAGGCGGTGACGGTGTCATATCATTTCTATTCATCATTTGCTGCTCTTGACTCTGATGAGCTTTTTGCAGCAATAAATTGAGAGCTTGTCTTCGCATCAGTTGATCTTCGCCATCTTGACTATTGACCATGTCAACCGTAGATGTAGATCCGCCTGATATAGACATCATACCGCCGTCATCGAAGAGATGGGCTGACACTTGCATTATATTTGGATCATCCCGTTCAGACACATTTGGTGATAATAGTCCGACGCAGTTTTGTGAAGTAGCCTTTAAGGTGCTGTTTTGATGACTATCCATACCTATGAGTGTTTGGTCCTGCACCTATATAAATTAATAAAAAAATTATAAAAATAAAACTTATACATTTTTTCAATAAAGCACATATTTTTTAACTTACACTTTGTTGCAAATATTGTTGTATACTTAATTCTGTCGTTGGCGTGATTGGCAGTTGACTGTTGTTCATCCATAAGGGTTGCGATATATTGGCAAGCAGTTCTTCCTGATTACTATTTTCTTGAATCATTAATGATTCGCAATCATCTCCTTCGACAGTCGGAGGACTCATTCTTGACATATTATATGTTTGGCCTGGAGACTTATCGCTTTCTTGTCGTTGCGTTTGTTGTTGTTGAAGCAAGAATACCCGCAAATCAGGATTTAGTGGCTGATTTGGTGGCGTTAAAACAAGCAATGAATCCATTTGATCAGGAGTCAAAATTCCTAAACTCTCATCTTGGTCTATTGAACTTTGTTTACTACTTCCGTAAGGCCCAACTGGACTATCCTAAATGAAAATAATTAGTTAATAAATGGAAATCATAAAAAATAGATTTTTTAACTTACCTGAAAAGTTTTGCCAAAATTACTGGCTGCTCCTAATATGAATGTTCTTGGTCCGCAATCTGTCCAACTGCTGGGCCGTTTCGGTTTATCACTCGCTTCACTAATATCACAAGATTCACTGTGTTCCATTTCAACGTCATTGTCTTTAGAAAATGTTTCAGAACTTATCTTATCACTTAAAACTAAATCAGTCTTGAGATCAGCATCGAACGTTGCATTGCATTTGTTTATTACATAAGATTCATTACATTTAGCCGCTGGTGCATCAGGTTCAATAATAGTTGACGATAAAATTTTGCGTGCTAAACTAAACGTACCATCTGGTACGTTATGGTTAGGTGGATCATCTAAACTAAAAGTGCCATCTCTATTCAAAACTCTTTCATTACCACTATCCGACTTAGATATTTCAAATGTGCAATTATTCGGTTTTGAAAAATCAAATTCATTTTCTCCTCCGTCGGCACTAGTAGGTGTAGAGGATTTGAATTCTATTTCTTGCATTTTATCTGAGACATCCGGGCTACAAAATGCCTTCTCGTGATGACTACTAATTACTGAATTACGAGGTCTGATTTTTCGACGAACGAATTCTGAACTTCCAGATACCATTCGGTGAACCAATTTCGTTTCTTGGGGATTGTCATTCGAAACTGGCACCGGAGGTGGCATTTTTTTCCTGTCACGTAGAGATGGAGGAACTTGAGCAGATAGATCACAAGAATTCAATCTTTGCCGTTTCTTCTTATTTTTGGTGACGACATTCTTATCTTTGTTTTCGCTGGGTCTCTGTGCTGTTGCAACACTCGGGATGCGCGAAGCCGCGAATGCTCCTGGACGGGGTATTCGACTACTCGGGCCTGCCCGAGTCTTACCCAACGTCTGGAAATAAAAGAAATAGTTAATAAAAGTCCAAACAATTTAATTTTAATGAAGTAATAGAATAGAAAATAATAGATTTTGTGATGTTCTCCTACCATAGGCCTGCCTTCGGACAGACTATTTATTATTATTATTATTAATATTTATTATTACTATTATTATTAATATTTATTATTATTAATATTTATTATTATTAATATTCATTATTATTATTAATAATATTTATTATTATAATTATTATCATTATTTTCAAAGAAAGTCGAAATATTTCTTTGTCATTTTTCAAATATTTATTTTATATAGTGGACAAATTCACGCCTCAAAAAAGTTGAAAAGAAAATCTTCAAAGTGTTCACACAAAGTGTTAATAAAATTAGAAGCACGGTTTTATAATTTTATATCGGTTTTAGTCTAGACTTGCAACTACAAAAGCATAACAGCCAGGCAGATTTATACACAAATATTCAAAATCTTTACCAATTTAGTAACTTTATTAAAATATATTTTTTATTTTATAAAAAGTTTTATTTGTACGTATTTGTAGATAAATTTTTGTTCATATTTTAATAATTTTCTATTATTATTTTGAAGTGTTAGTTAAGTTCCTGCGTGATAGAATGCATTACGAAATTTATCTCAGAACTTATGTAACATTTTCCAAACCAGATAAATATCGCAAGCTTCTGATTTGCCCAACGATATACATAATTTATACGAACATTTTAGAATCTCTTGTGGCCTTATTAAATTGTGTAACTTCTTCATATTACTGAGTCTTGATCAAAATTAGATATTGACATTATGCTGGATATTATGCTTCGAGGCACGTACTGAGATATTTTTCATAAATATTACTGCTCTCTGATGTGTAATAAAATTATATTATATATTTTGTTGGTCGTTTATGGCTTATAATGTCACATTATTGGGTTATGATACCAGATGAAACGGAATATCAGGATAAATAGGTTTGTGATAGATGAATATAAAATCAGAATATATTTGCTTAAGCTAAATACCAATTCCACTTGCTATGTAATTGAAATTTTATATGAAGAATAAGTAAAATTACTTTTTCAGCACTACTTTAAATGCATACAAAAAATAAAAAAATAAATTAGAATATTAGATCGAAGTTGTTTGCTTATTGGAGCAATTACTACCATCTTCATCATCTTTTACTAATACATATTTTTCATATTGTTTTTTTTTTAAATTAGAATAAATAAATTTGCTAAACGATTTAAAATATTCCACGTACTTTTAACATTCTGAAATACAAATTTGGAATAATTTCCTTGTAAATACTTCCTAAGCAGGTATCGAATTTCAAGGTCCATCGTCGCGACTATTTCGTAATGTCCAAAATAAAAAACATGAGAGATCAGACGATAAAATTGTTGAAATTAATGAAGACTAAAAGCTTATTGTAAAAAATAACTTGCAATACTGACTAATGTAAATTGATACGCTTAATTGTATTTAATACACTTAAACAAGGTTCAAAATTGACCAGATAAGAACACCTACATTCCTCATACTGAAATTCTACTAAAAAAATTACTATTACATTGCATATTTTATTTTACATTGATTTTATGGTAGTCACATGTTTGAAAAATCAATATTGAATTTTTTGCTTTAAAATATACATGTAATTTTATTCAGGTAGACTGTCAATCAAAAAGTTATAAGAATCCTTAACCCTTAACTGAATGCAAATTTTTCGATTTTGGTTTATGATGGAAAAGTACTCATTTCGAGCTTTACGAAGTCGAATTCAAATTAATGATAATACAATGAATTTGCATAACTTATTACGGATAAGAAGCACAATCTTGAATTTAAAATAAGTAAAAAAAAAAAATACTATATATTCCACACCAACTCCAATAGTGAAATACGTTATAAGATATATAAGTTATTTTTTTTGTTAAAAGCACAAACAATATTATCATAGATAATTCCATCCAAATCATTGCAACAAAAACCAAATTTAATCGACCAAATAAATCTCTACAAAAAACTAACCAACACGATTCAATGTCAATTTCAAATGATTTTTAAATTTTCAAAACCGCGTGCACGATTTTTGGATAAAAATATTTGATATTTTCTGATAATTTTAAAATGCTGTTTTTCTGATTTTGCCGTGAAATATTAATTAACGGGAGTCTATATGGAATTTTATGATGAGGATTTTAATTTTTAAAATCGATTCAGCCGTTTTGGAGATAACGTTGGCATAAGATCAAATTTTGACTCACTAATACATATATTTATCAATTTTAATATCAACCACATAGATTTGTCAATTTTGATATCAACCAATTGCGAATTACTTGAAATGTAGAGAAGTTACAAAGTCAGCAAGTTTCTGGCAAAAACTCCTTGGAAAAGTTAAAAAATATGAAGTAAGAAAAATATGAAAAAGACCATCTAGAGTAAAAAAATACGTGAAAATATAAACTAAACAAATTTTAAAAAAATTGTATAGTATATTACGAGTGAATATATCTTATAGTACAGATTCAAAATAAATCATTTACCTGTCATAAAATAATCCAAACAACAAACACACAAAAATAACTAATCAATCACACTAAAATTAAACACACTGCAATCCTTCACCACTGAATATTATCCACAAGCTTTTTTCACCACAAATAATAATTTTAATATTTTAACACTATTTGACGAAACGATCATCACAACTGCTGAACAAAAATCAAACTGACGTATCAAAAATGTATTTTCTTATCCTTTTTCCTAGAAGGAATTGTTTTTATCGGACCGGTTTGATAGGTAACGATATCCAAATCTCGAGAGGTGTTATTCATCCCTTTTGTTCGCAGGCAAATTTTACTGCTATCATGTTATAATATTATTTAGGACAGGTATAAAAATGTACAGGGGCGTACTAAGGTAATAGAAATAAGAAAAACTCTTGGTGACTTATATACACTCATACATTTATATTTACTTTAAAGAAAGTCTCTTATTTTGTATTAAATACCAATAAAATATTAAAGTCTTCATCAATTGTACAATTAATAATTTGTCTGTCTGTATAATAAACTTGATCTACGGAAAGAATTTGCATATGAAAAATATAAAGAAATCACGTTTAACTAACTAATTATAAGATCTGGCATAAGAACAAGTAATGCCTGTAATATTCTATTTATTCATAGAATTATCAAAAATCTTTATTACACGTCGAGTAAAAATATCCCCAAAAATTAAAATCTTACTAAAAGAAATAGAATATGGCAAGCCTAAAAAATAAAAAAGGATATGTAACGGATTTAGTTATATTAATCAGTTTTTGACTGAAAAAAAAATGTAAAGCAAAATTTATAATATTTAGCAATAATTTTTCTACCAAAAATTCAGTTTATTAGAATCTAAAGTGGCATACCGATTTTGATATTCCTAATTATTTATTATTATTATTAAGGGCAGGTATAAACAAAGTACAGGTATGTACTCAGGTTTATTAAAAATATGTTATGATGATATACGATGTTGATATAAGAAGCGTTCGTATAATTATATATCGTTCCATAATTATAGATAATTATGCACTGAAGTGTGTAGTTAGGTTTATAATTAGCGTTTAAATATGGTATTGTAATAAATTTAATTATATATAATTTTATGCTAGTTCTGAGTAATAAAAATAATAAAAAATATTTAAGAATTCTTCATAACATAGTTATAAAATTTAACAAAAATATGTTTACAAAAATCTAACAAAATATGTCCAAGAATCTAACAAAATATGTCCAAGAATAGATGACCAATAAGATCTTTTTAGAGAACTCTCAGAACTCTTAGAGAGATTTGCATCAGACATTTAATACTCTACATGCTTTGGAAGTTCACGTGGCATAACTATTTTTAATGTAGCCCTGCAATAAATTTCTAATATTAAAATTCTTCATAGTACTAATTAATTAGTGATGTAAGTTATTCACACATAATGATGAATTTAATTTATCCTTTTAATTAAATTATTATTTTATAAAAAATCACTTATAAAAAGTAAAATCATCTCAGAATTATCCATAACGAATTCATTATGCACATTCTTTACCAGTATTACCGTAATTACGATGAGAACTGTTCTTATGTATTAAAATAACATCATCTAGTGTATATTGTTAATTCTAAACAATAACGTAATATAAAGTGAGCTTCCTGGTTTATTGTGGCACAATCAGGTAATAAATTTTAATTCTTAATTTTAGTAATATTTATTCAAAATTGAGAAAATACTCATTAATTGACTAGAAGTAATAAATAGTTGAAAGTAGAAATGGAAATTTAAATGAAATTTCACTGACAAGGAGAACATCAGGTTTAGTTTTTGAGGTGATAGAATTGATGATCAAAACGCACAGTTTAAAATATTGAAGGCTTAGGAGAAGTGATTGATTTATAAAAATTAATTGAAGTTTTGAAAAGTAGGCCGTGTGTAATCCGCAATTATTTCCTTGCCATATACTCAACAATTTTGTATTATAAAGCTTAAATAAAGTTTCGATCAACAAAAAAAAAAAAAATGACTTGCCAAATCAATAAATGTATTCACCAAACAATTTTTAATTTTCAAGTTATTTTCATTATTAGGCAAACTTATTTTATATCGACTACGATATTATGTTCGTTTTATGATACTTATTTAGGACACATTACCAAAGATACGATGTTCCCACAATAAGTCCTAAAGTAAACAAATTCTTACATTACAAGTTATTACGCATATTTTAAATATATTAAGATCTATATGAATAAGTTGTCCATTCTTCAACGTAGGTACTCAGTTTTGATTTCAAGTACCTATCAAGTTCGATTACTTTTGTTTGTGATTTATTACCAGACGTTTGGGTAAGTTGCTTACATTTTTAAAAATTTTCGGGCCGATTTCTACAAACATTGTGTTACTGGAAGCACACATGATTTGTGATCATTACTTTTACTGTTTGCTTTTGGAAGAACATATGTTTTCTTTTCCTCGGATGGTTACTTCGTATGACGTGAGAATTCATTACTGTGTGTTCGCGAAGTGTAAATATACACAAAAAGCGCGTGGAGGAGTTTAAATCTGGTCAGATAGTAAATTTCGGTGTTCTTTTGAAGTTTTTGTCAATATTTATTTGCAAAACTGACTGGGAATAGCAAAGTTTTTGCAAGGAATTTACGTTTGGTCTTGACTGACACTGGCTGATTTTTTTTTATTTCATTAAATTATAACAATCAGAGTCAGAGTGACTATGAGTTACAAAGCTGATATAAGAAGGAAACTATAATTAAAATAATATATAAAAGTAAAATAAAAATAATAGTAATTACAACTCAAAAGTTTATCTAATACAAATTATTTACCAAACTCCAGATCTCCATGAAAAATACCATAAATAAATATCAATTAATCTAGCAGTTAATTTATTCTAAACACAAGTGTAATTGGAATCGTAAATTTCGTACTGCGTTCATTGGCAATTTTCTCATGAGTCTTGCGAACGTGTTTATCGATGAAATAAATTTTTAACAAATGCTTAAAATAACAGTAAAATGTTCCATGAGATACCAGAGCATGTATAGAATGGAATAACTAATGTGTATTATATGCTGTTATAATTTTCTATAGGAATAAATGGAGGAAATTATAAGAAGGAAATTCTGAGTTGCTGATGGTTTAGCTGAGCTTATACTCATTTGTTTTGATTTTTTTTTTCAATTATATTACAGCAATATAATTTACATTTATTTTAGACTAATGAGTCGAATGATA